TTAGTTAATTTGGTTTTCATTTTATCATTTATTGAACACTATGATTCAATTTATTATTGTACTGATGACGATGGCAGTTCGTGTTTACTCGCTTTATCATATTTGTTCACTACATTTGCAATATCAGTTAGGGCTCATGCCAGCAACCAACGACATTTTAAACATGATATAAAATTTTGTGCAACGTCATGAATCTAGTTTTTGTATAAAACCATTATATTTCATATTTGTTGCATATTTTTCTTTAACAAATTTAATAAGAGAACTTATTCTTTAATTATGTTTAATATATGTTGTTGATAGTATGTGGCTGATATTGCCATGATTTTAATCTTAAAAATAGTTAATTGAATATTAATTTTGAAACCATCGTTGTTATTGATAAAAAACAAGCAGTTATGTGTACATATCGGTCGTCGATTGAAACAGCAAATATTGAAATGATTGAACTGCTATCGAATCAAATTTATATGTATTACTTTTTAGATGCTCTTGTATTCACACAAGTGATTGAACAGTTCCGATTACTGCAATCATCACTGGAGACAATAGGAAACGTTTGTCCAAAGCGTAAATGAAAATAGACAAAACCAACTGAAAAATATAAGTTTCATTTCCAATCCCACCCAGACTGAAAGTGGCATCGAAGTCAAGCTGCATTACCCTAATAATATACCTTTGTTAGTGTTACATGCACTTATTTAGGCTCTTTGAGAACTACTTCTTCGCAATTCCTTATAATGAATATAAAGCTTTTTTAGGCAACCTTTCATACTCAAGCTCTTTTGGTAGTGAGAAATCAGCTCGCTTCCGTTGCTTTGATGATTGTTTTGATTCAGATGCATAATAATGATTTCTTGAGTCAGGAATAAATTTCGTTGACAATAAAAGCCTTTTCTTTTGCTAGAATAATGTTCTAAAATTTGTTCACTTGCTGGAACACGTTCGTAATTTTCATCGGATGTTAGTAAATGTTTCATTCATCATGAAAAAACTTTAGTCATATCTAATTGATCAAGCAAAATGTCATACAACATGTCGGCTGCCATGGTAGAGTTTGTTATTATTTTTCATAAAAAAACAGCCCAGAAGCTTTTTGAACATCCTATGCGTGTTTTTATGATTTTTAGTAAACAATTTAAAGTCAGATATATTTAAAATATTCCAAAAGTGGTAAAAGCATAACTTTAATATCATACTGAAAATCCGAGGAACCTTTCTTTCTGTATGCACTGATAATTGAAAAAACTGTTTATGTATCTGTAATATTGCACTATGCTTCAATTTACGCACCATAATAATAAATTTCCGATGAGAGCTCTTTGTTATGCCCTGTGACGATAATACTAGAATATATATATGATCTTTGATGTGTTCCTTCTGATAGTTGGTCCCCTCTCGTTTGATAACTAGCGCTTTATATAGAGGGGTACCCAAACAAGTACTGTTAGCAAAACAATAAAGAAATGTAAAAGCAGGTGCATCAAATTTCTCTTTAGTCATATTTTCGAAATGAACACACAGATGTATTAGTTAAACCAAATGATGGAAAGTTTTAAGCGTTCATAATTTGTCTACAACAGGATCCAACGATTTACAAGTGTTTTGGTTGCTACGATTTTGCCTGGTTAAATCGTATCAATAAGAGTCAGATAAAGCTAGATTCGAAAAACTAGCTGGTTTTAGGATTATTGCTGTACCTTACTATGCAAGATGATTGAACTAATATCGGCGCCAGAAGTCAAGGCAGGTGGATGTTTTTT